AGGTATAGGCGGAGAAAATCTCCTCCAGGACTAAGCCGAGGTGGGCTGGGGGATAAGAGCTTGACCAATTAAACTGGAGGATCCTCAGAAAATTGGAGTGAACGGCCTCAGTCTTTTCATCGAAGTTCACTTCCATCAAGCACATCAAATGGGAAGTTGAAATAAGGATTGCCAGTTTGCTCTGCTAAAAGCATAAAGCGTGTGTGAGTGCCGTCTCTAGATAGTGTGCATGTGCAAGGAGAGACTGTCAGAAACACAACCGGACAATGCTTAGGTATATAAAATGTTTTTTCCCCTGTGTTCTCTTGAACAGACAGGGGCTCCAGAAACTTCTTATTAAAAAAAAACTTTTTATACAGTTTTATACAGTATTTATTTGTATTCTACAGGAACACGGAGGCATAACTTATGGATGACTTCATATTAACCCCAGTTTCTGCATCATGCATTACCGTTACATTGAAGTCCAAGGGCTATACAAACATTTAATACTTTACTTTGTATGAAAGTATAAATAATTGGAAATAGTGTAACCATACAGTGGTATTATATACCAATTGAAAGGATAATACAAATACTGTCAGTTGTGTACAAATAGAGCACAGAGATATGCCATCTCAATGTACCATGTTTGTATGGAATTGAAAAGCAATGCTCATAATGGTTTAAAGAGTCTCAGTATTCCTGCGATACCTTCAGAACAGTGGTAAATGATGCTCAACAACCTTGAATTTAACGGTGATATATATGAAGGACACAGTCTGGGCCCAGCTCAGTAGTATGTCTGTTTATTTGTAGAAGAAAATAACAAAGTATTTTAAACCATCAATCATAAACTAAAGATTATGTAGACTTTGTATGCCTGTAACACAGGCTATTCTCATTAATGACTAGATTATAAAACATTATCGCCGTCACAGTGTGCTGAATCAAAGCTTTTTACCGCTCACATCTGTAACCGGTTGGGCTGTTAAAACAGAAGGTTTCTAATCTTCTGCTGCTTTAACCTTAACTTTCCCCATGATCCAAACTCAAAAAGACCATGTGTTTGAGGAAAACGCTATATAGTACACTAATTCCTAAACAAAAAATTGCAATGCAAGCACTTATGATGTATACACTTCTGGACATTTCAGCAAAACGATATGGTTCATAATCAAATACATGCTGACTGTAACATCTGCCCACAAAACTAACTCATTTGGGCAAGCTGTGGCTTCTTCATGGCAATAACTTTAATGTGCAATGTCGAACAACTCAATAAGTAAATTAACAAACACATCAGCATATCATACTGCAGCTGGTTTAACACACTCCTCATTTGTAAGAAACTGACGATCCAGTACCACTCTGCGGGTTTTGTTTAACTTTACTGCTTTGGTTTTGTACAACTGCTAATACAGACCGACACTATTAAGCTATGATTTTCTCCGAAATCTGAAACCTCATTAATTGAGATTACTTTTCTATTGTTACAGTTAGGCTATTGAGAGAAGAAAACCTGCGTCTTGTGATTGAATCTAACTGACTGAAAATAAATCACAGCAGGAATCAGACCTGTGAAATCTCTGGTTCAGTTGTGATGAATTAAATACAATATTTAATCTGCAAAAATATATAGAGGCAGAACATCTTCCCAAGTTATTTCTGATGATGGGTATGCAATCATTCAAGCTTATTTTCCTGCTAATTGCATCTTTGTTACTAAACAGCTGTTCAGAAGTGCTCTTTTCTGCTTTATTATTTGTTCATTCAATGATTATATTGTGTATTGTGTTATTCAAAAAGGAATCAGAAATGAAAACCTTTTTGCAAACACAAACACAGAGTACTTCAACAAGTAGTGACAAAGAGGATGTATGCTTTTGTTCTGCTCCGAAGAATTCAGTTTGTGTTTTACCACCACTTTAAATACACAGCTTAAAGTGGTACTTAGCTGAAAGAGATCACAATCCCTGACTAATGGATAAGCAGCACAGAAACCCACTTGGTTTCAACACAACTGGCAGAATCCAAACCAGCACATCCGCACACAGTGACGATATAGCCGTCAAGAATGCAGAAATAAGCCAGAACCTACCATGTCAACCTATGCACAAAGCCAGGATGCAAATTGTGTTTCCCATGAAACAGAAACCAAACATGCTGTCTTCTAGTGGCTGCTTTGGACGGAAGGCAGTGGAGTTTTCTCTCCCTGAGAGAGGCCTTTCCAGAGTAACAGTTAATCTCATCAGAGATAATGGCAAGCCTTTTCCCAGACTGATTTAAAGTGGCTATGTCAGGTTAGAAAAAACATGATTTACACTGCTGAAGGATAAGCACATTTAAACTTCAGAATCTTGAAAATAACCCTAGTGCTTTGTATTTCGGTTTATATTTAATAGTTTTACCTAGTGGATGTATTTTAAGAAGGCTATTTGAATTGGGTTGACCTCACTAGACCCTATCAATTCATGCACAGTAATCAAACCTTGTTATATAATAAAAACATCCAAATAAACTATTGCGCACAGATAAATACTCAATTACTTCACCACAAACCACCCACATTGTGTTCGCACTTAACATTCACCTCGATGTATGATGCTCTATCAAATATGCATGCCCTTTTCCCTTTCCCATCTCGCTCATCAATAGCTATCGACTGGTTCTAAAATAGCAATCCAAAGTCACCGGTGGTGAAATCTAACCTCTGGGTTTTGTTATTTGCGTCAATGTACTGGTGAGAGCGCTGTGGCGATTGCATGCCATTTCTCATTAAGAGCGGCAGCAGAATTGGCTTGTCTTCTATAAGTGGAGATCATGAGAGAGAACAGAAGAGATGCTGTGTGTGTGCAAGAAAGAGGATGATAGAGAGGAAGAATGAGAGACAAGGGGGGGAGGACAAAGAGTAAGAGAGTGAGATAAGAGAATCAGAGAGACGATGCCTACAATAGAGAGACAGACAACAGACAAAGAGATAAAGAGAGGGAATGAAGGAGAGAGAAGTTGGGGGTGGCAGCACAGGAAGCTGCTCCTGACTATTCTGAGGGCTGCTTTGCCGCTTCTCCCTTTGAGGCCCTGCTAGTGTCACATTAAGATCATCCATTTGAGGATCTCAGACAAGCCTTTGATGTTCTTTGTGCATACACAAACAGGAGAGTGGAGTGCTCCTTTGACAATTGCCAACTCTACAGAAATATATTTTTCATATTCTGAATAGCTGGCCTGCTAGGGGACAATGTTATCATCAGAGGGTGCAGCGCAAACTGGTGAGTAATTTAATTCACCAGTTCATATTTCATCACTGACTACATTTAATGGAATTGTTCAACCATACTAACCCTCAAACGTTAAGGAAGAAAATATGTTCACCCTCCACTTTTGCAGGTTGGCAGATAAAGCAGGTGGAACAAATAGCTGAAATGCCAAACAGTGTAGTCCTAGAAATACTTGAGTGCAAGTACAAGTTTGCGAATGTGTGTAGATGGTTTTGTAACATTCTTCGAGAACTAAGTTAAAAGCCACTTCTCATAGAGATTCAAAGATGAGCACAGGGGAGTTGCTGTGGACTACAGACCTTAGAATGTGTTCAAAATGAGTGAAGAGGATTTCCCTCTTTTGAAATAGAGGAAAATGTAACCCTGTTTGTGCACCAGGAATCCAAACAGCTTTGTAGTCTTCTCTGTTGATTGACCTGTTGACAGACCCTAGCTTTTAAGCACTACATTGGGAATAAGGCTTGGGGAATTTCAAAGGTCCTTTTATCTTTTTAGATTTTGTGTATCTGTATTTCAGAACGGGCCTATTAAGGAAACCAAGAACTTCATTCAGACATTAAAATCACCAGTTAGTCTTTTAATAGACTAATAGCCTTGTTTTCATTCAAATCTAGAGTGTATTACTTTTCAGAGGCTTTTCAAACTCAAAGCTCTCTAAAATGATTGAAAGGAGGTTTCAATACACCACATCACCTGTCCCAGTGCTCAATCAGGATCTCGTCATACAATGGCATCTGCCTTTACTGTATGTGTTGGCTTTCCTATAAGGGTTATCTGAATAATTGATCCTATAATTACTACTTTGTTAATATCCTTTGCTATTCTTTGCTAGAGCTTTGTCACAGATGATTTGATACAATTTATTTGTTTATCTCCCCTTTTTTTCCACAATGACCAATACCCATTGCACTGTAGTTGTAATACTCTAATGTTGCCCTGGGTGGAGAGTTGACAGCCACATGACTCAATACATATCAAGCCCACAAGCCCTCAACCGAAGGGTAAAATGTTGTTGTAGTTGCTGCTGCCTGAAGAATGAACCTGGGTTCATGCCATGATAAGCAGCTGTTTTTTGTCTGCACCTGTTTTGGGAAAGCTTTTGTCTATGCTTCAGGTGGCTTAGCAAATCATCTATTTTTCAGTACCTGCATTTATAAAGAATCCTTCTCTAAATCGTGTTAAATATCTACAGTCTATTGCTGATGCACCACCAGTTTAGCCTCTGATTATTTGGCCTCTTCGGATATCGGTTAGAGCCTCATGGCGTCTTGAAAACTGTGAAATGCCTGACTCTCAGACCTCTTAAAAGTCTGACTCATACCGCGACTTAGCATTCAACTTAGCACGGCTGACCCGTGTATCTTCCTTTGTACTGTAATTGTGATGCTGTTACCTCAAAACTACATTTGCTTTTTGTAGGTGGTGTTTTTGTCCAGTACACATGCAGATGTAGACTTTAAAGCAGACACACAACAACACCCACACACACAGACTTTGCAGCGATAATAGGCAATCAACATTCACAAAGCTGATGACAAATAAACCATTTCCACTGGTGACATGTGAGCCCCCAGTTGCAGCACTGGGTTTAATGTTAGCTTTTCTTCCAATATAAAGAATGCTGTGGCAAAATGAAAACATTCCTGAGCACACAAACCCCCGCTGACATCCACACAACCTGTCAGCCCTCTCACTCTCCACCACACCAGTTAGCTACAAGCAGATAGAATGACAACTTACGAATGAGAGGCACACTGGCATTAGCCGTCCCTAGCTTGTTGGTGGCGACACATGTGTAGTTCCCGTAACGATCCTCTGTCATGTTGGTCACTGTGAGGACTGATCTGGAGCTGAGGCTCTTGATGTCGATGCCTTGACCCTTGTTAATCCTGAAAACAGAACACAATCGCAAGAAATTAAGTCACACACAATGAGTCAGTTGGAGGTGCGCCTTGTGTCAAGGACGGTACAAATGTTTGTCGTCCTTTATTGGATCTTCAGATTGTACAGTACTTCATCATCCTCTTCAACAGATCTATTTATCCCTTAGACTGTCACGTCTGCCTTAGAGAGACGCTTTGAAGGACTGAGAGGGGAGAGAAATGACCCAGAGTTGAACCAGCTGGGTGCCACTTGACATGTTGTTCATTGTTGTGTTGCAGGTGCAGAAGGAGTGCAATAAATCCTATTCCAGTTGTGCTTGGCATTAGGATGGAAGCCCTGAGAGGCAGGATGGGAAAACAAATGTAGGGGCAATGCTTGATGTCTAATCGGTTTGATATTGAATTACTTAAGCTTAAACTAAATTAACCATCTGAGACTCAATGTAATACTGAGGTTGTTTTTAGCCTCAAATGATATAATGATCTTAACTTTAGATTAAAAAAATTAATGACAGCCTCTCAAAGACAGTAATGTTGGCCGGCATTCCCGCAGGTCTCAAAGGCTAAAATGTATCTCATACATAAGAGTTATCGCCCAAATATTTTTTTCTCCACTCTGCATCTCATTGTCTTCTATTCATCTGTGCCTTAAAATTGAAAAATGTTTTTGTTTGGTGTCGTTCCTGATAGTGAGATTAACAAAGATGATCGGGTTTGATTTCATTGGTGTGGTTGGTTTTACAGCTACAGTATCACCTTTGAAATCATAAATCATAAAAACCAGTCAAATATTTTTTCTGTTGGCCTTGCCGTGGCCCCCTGGGATCTTTAGCTTGGCTGGAGTTGCTCTGAGAGGACTGTGATTGGAAACACTGTGTGTGACCTTATGTCCAGTAAATAACTGTGAATCTGTTGTTTCCCCTCCCACGGTGATCTCCTCCAATGTAAGCTGAACGTTCACTGATAATCTTAGCGGGGGTCTTGCCTTTCCACTATTTTAACATCAAACTAGTCAATGCTCCCCTTTGTCAAAGTGAACGAAACACCCCCTACCCACGCACAATAACACACTCAACCACTTCTATTCAAGAGTGATTTCCGTCACACATCAAGAGAAAGACTTGGTTGTCAAAACTGTCACTCTATTTCCGACAGAGATAGGCTAGCAACAGCAATATACTGATAGTATGGCTTCATCCACACTCTAAAAACGAATTCAGGCGACCTTTCACCTCCACTTAATTAAATGCATGGTTGCAAGATGAAAATGTGAGTTAATTGATTTAGATAAACATTTTAAGTTGCAAACATTAATTTATTAGTTGTGTTGACGTAACAATGTTGGTAATTACATCAACTTAATATTGTGTGTAATTTAAACTCTGATTTCTGCGTTAATTGACTTAAAACAAAATTCAAGTTGTAGTAAGTAATGCAATTGGCTTGATAACTTAATTGTTCTACACCTTGAGTTAAGGACTTCAAGTCCACTCCCACTTAACATGCCAGGACAAGTTCCGACAGTTAAGACAAATAGAAATATACAAAGGACATTTTAAGGTGAGTGCCATCTTTTGTCATTCAAATACAGTCTTGTAGTTGCACTGTATGCAAATTGCTGTTTGACCAAAATTAGCAGCCTTTGAACTGTGAATAGTTCTGTGAGAGGATACAAAGTAGTAGAGGCTACTGTGAGAGTAAACATACTTTGGTTATTGTGATATCGCTTTTTATTCAAAATGAATCTCGGTGAAGCAGATCAAGGACATGCTTCTTGAGGTAGGATCATTATTTAGAGTTGTCATTGAAATGCAAGTTGTTGGCAGTCACCCATTCAGAATATATTCATTTAGGTCATTTCTCTTTTTTTCCTTTTTCAAAAATAGCACAATGCAATTGAAGTACGCAGAGAACTATAGCCATCCGCTGCCTTGTCGTGTACTTTGGAGAAAAGGAAGAGGACCTTTTCAAGGAGTTTAGCGACGTAATTAAAAATCTTGAAATAAAATAAAATCCACGGGCCCAGTGTAAAAACACAGGACAAAAGCACTGCTCTGTCAGTTACATTCTGAAGCATATTGCACTTTTGGCCACACCCCAATCAATAATATCTTAGCAACGTTCAGCATGGATAGGTGTTGACAGCAATGGCATGGGAAAAGGATTGTGTACAATTTGAAAAGTGGCTTCTGCTCTTCACTTAACCAGTTCAAGTATTGTATGGAACCTGCAAAAAAGATGAGAAGATACACTAAAACTTGCACGGTTGTGATTGACAAAATCTGTTCACATGCATTTAAACACTAGGCAAAGTACTCAAAAGCACCTCTGTATGTCTTCAGGACCACATTGCCATGACGACACACACATGCAGACTCAATAGGTGAAAACAATACCAGCGTTGCTTTAGCAGCTGGTAATAATGGCTCTGAATTCGCTAAGAGGGACAGTTTAAAAACAATGCAGTTACCTAATTCATTATCTCTTATGCGCTAACCTGTTATTTAATGTGCTTCAAAAGGACATGAATATCGCCTTCATCAGTGACCGGTCCACCCCAGGATCTGACCATACGATGGCAACCATCGTGGTGGAGGGAAACAAATGAATGAACATTCTGCGTTAAATGTGTTCATACTGTTTGAAATAATGACTGTCGGCAGTGTAAACATCTTTGTTACATCTTTTGTCAAATGGATGTGTGTGATCTGCAGGTTGGTGGCCATTGAGAGTTTGTTTCTGTAGTTTTACAAAAACTTTACAGATTTTACATATTTGGCACTGGTTTTAAATATGTAAAGGCCTCTAACTTCGTTGTGATGGCAGCATTTATTTGCTGTGTCCCCATGTCTCATGGTAATATGGCTAATATGTTTATTTATTATTTGGGGGGCAATTTAAATGTGTGTTATTTATCTTTTTTTCAAGATTGAAATGAAGCTCAGCGCAAGTTCTTTCAGGAAGACTGTGTATATACATTCACTCCGCAGCTGCATATAATCAGCTCATCACAGGCGTTCTCTTTAACCTATTACATTTCACCTCATTCTCCAGCAGCCAATCACAGTGCTGCAGCCAAACTATAAAATGGTTCTCCTCTCTCCTGCAGTCAGCTGTGATTTCAGGTGTTCATGCACCTTATCATATGGCATGTGTCAATAAATGTTCAAACAAAATGAATTATCTCCTGATTGAAACATCATGTGTTGAAATAAACAACTGCAGTTCAAAATAAAAAGTGAATTGCCTAATATTTTTGTTGTGGAATCAATTAATTTCTTTCTTTAAAGGCAAAAACATGAAAAAGCTAAGAAAATAATCTATTGAATACAATATATTTGGAGCAACTTAATTTATAAATGGTTGTAAACTTAAAAACGTGTGTTCACAATGATGGTAATTAAGTACATACAACTTAAAATTCCTTTTAAATCATGCGGTAAAACTAGTCGGAACAACTTAATCTTTTGAATAATCAACTTCAAAACTTGTGTTTATGCTACCAATTATTAAGTAAGTGGTAATTAAAAACACCTCTGATTGTAGAGGAAAAGCCTTCTCCCCTAACTCAAATAACTTTGTTGCTTTATGACAATTTCATTAGAAGTTGTCTTAACTCAATAAACATCGATGCAAACTGTTGCATTGATTTTCTTTGTTGAGCCAAGGCATTTGTTTTTAGAGTGCAGACAGCCTAAATACTGTATAAAACGGCCTTTCCCATGCACAGTAAATGGGAAACAAAGTGTTGAAAGTCAGTGGTAATGTCGTAAAGACGCCACAAATGTTCTGCGCTGAAGTCCTTCTAGTAAAGTCCTTTCTGTGCTGTGGAGTGAATGAAGAAATCACCATTTAGCCATATAAGAAGTCACAAAAAGAACGAGTCCTTGAATTAAGTAAAGACTAGAATCATGCCAACTTGCCTCCTTAGCAATTTGAATAAATTGAATCCAACCCATAATTACAATTAGCACAGTGTGAGCTGATGATTGAAATTGTGCTCACCAGGAGTGGGTAAATGATGGGTAATGGGGGTAATTTGGTTTTCAAATTCAAGAACTGACATTGATTCTAGGCTGATTGATGTATATGCTGCAAATGATTTAAGCCGCTTGCCAGCAAACATTTTATTAAGATGCAAGGTGAGGACAAAGCACAAATGACTCTTGCAGGGACATTTGTGTTGGCTCTCCCTGGAGGATGGACAAATGGCACAACAAACAAATGCATTGTCTCTGGGAAAAAACAAACAAATGAAAACCCAAACTTTCTAATCGCACTACGACGCTTACTTTTCGACAAAGAAGTATGACCTAATACTGTCTCAAATCAGCAGATTCGTATTCAAACGGTTTATCATAACACACCTTGAGAACCTCAGTAATAACAGTAAATATACATTTTAATTTTGTATTTGTTTATTTTACATTTACTTCCGAAAGAGGCTTTGTGGTTTTTATTGAATTACTGTAGGAATAGTTCACAAGAAGTACAATTTACATTTTAGGCTTTTCAAGGATTGATTAACTGTAAGTATTAGATCATGTGTGGCACACTTACTAAACCCATTTCATACTTGAGCTAAAATGACCTTAAACACTTCATATCACATAACCAATTGTATAGTATCCATAGTCCTACAGGTGTAATAGCCCCACATTTCTAGTGACAACCTCTTGCCAATGTAGTTCACTTCTAAATGCAAATAAATGCTGACTTTATGATTTATATTTCACAATAGTTATAACCATCTGTTATGAATGTTTTCTGTACTTTTTTCAGAAAATAATTGATACGCCCGCTCACTTCAGAAACTCTTCAGCCATGATGAGCTACAGTATGATGTCATGCAACAGTAAAATGACGCAGCCACATCTAGTGGACATTTGGGGATGTCAACAACACACTTTATTTAGACAGTTAATACAATCAAACTGGGCTCACCTTTTTTCACCCTTGTACCACTCGAATGTTGGAGGGGGGACAGCAGCTGCCTCGCACCTCAGCAGAGCCGTGCGTCCCAGACCAACTCCATGGCTTTTCATCTCATGGATAGTAGGAGCAACTGGAGGAGACCAACAGAGAAGTTTCTGGGTCAAACATACAGTTCCAGTCAAAACAACTATGTGTGGTATCACCAGCATGAATGCATTCTAAAGGGAAAGTTATTGGTCCTAATAAAACAGGAAGCCCTGATGATGGAGGGTTGTTGAACTTGAGAAAGACAACCTTCAAATTCGTGATCGCTGCACACACATTATAAAGTGTCAATTCAATACTCAGAGTCTACAGAGGCGGAGTTGGGGAGGGAAGAGGGCATCCATCCCCAATGTTAGAAAAAGAAATGAATTGCACTGCACGGTGATAAATGGCTTAATGGAAGTTCAAAGACTCAATGGCACAGGCAGGTTCTGTGAATACAAAACGAGTCTCCTTTCATGTGCTGAAATGTGTTGTAAAACTCTTTGCCAGTGTCATGAAGGCAGCTTTGCTTATAGACGTTTTTCTACCGCATACCCGTCCTTTTGTACTTCAAATATTTACTGCTTATAGTTACACCTTTAAAAAAATCATATTAATTAATTGAGGTTATATAGACTTACAACAATGGCATTCTGCTGCATGAGCTTGAACAAAAAACAACAAAGAAGCACTTTTTCCATTCCCTTCCCGTCAAATAATAGGAATACAAATGTTAAACTTGTTATAATTATAACAATTGGCCATTGTTGGTATGATTCTTGATTCATAAACTGGCCAAACAAACACAAAATGACCCTCTTTGAAAGATGGAGGAAAGCTGTGCTTGCAGTCAGTAGCACTGTTCCTCACTGAACTGACTGAATGCATACAGGGGTCCATGCCCGCTGGAAACGTTATGACTGGCTTCCTGCTTCTCCATTAATCAAAAGGAGAACCAATCATAATGATGCACATGCTTCAATCTGACATTGTTTATTGTGTAAACTTGGCTTGACTCTCACCAGCCTGAAAAATAATAAAACTGCTCTAAACAATCAGATGAACAGTCATTTGACATACAATACAGGCTAAATTACTTTGTGTCATTCACACAGACTCTGATTAAAAGCCAATTATACAGGAAAAAACTGAAACTTCCAGGGTCAGTTCTGCAGCTAGCAGTAAATTGCCCAGCCATGTCTGAGAGTGAGATGTGGACTATTTAAATTCCTGACAATGAGCCTTTCTAAGAGTAACCTGTCAGTCTGAGATCTGTGACTTTGCCGAGTGTGGGAGCATGGCCCCTGCCTGCAAACATTCCAATTGCATATGCAAATATTCTGGACAACCTCAATATGGGCAGCACATTGGGACACACCTTTAAGTACTAACTGGCAACACACTCCCAAAACGGCATACAGTGAAAAATTAATATAATAAATGTCTATTCCTACTTAATACAAAAAGTATTGTGCAATTCAGTTACATTTAAGTAGCCACATGCTTATATGTGGCTTATATGTTTATTGCTGTGAGATAGACATAGTGCCAACCGGAGAAAATCTGCATTGATAGATGAGGTGGGATCCAACAGATCTGTGCGAGGTGAAACAGATACATGTGAGCATTTGTACATGTGGCGTGTGATCATGTCTGAGAGGCGCACTGAGGCGACATTGCACTCTGTGATGATGGATGACTTACTGCCAACCTTCTCCTGTATCCTAATGAGCACATTCGTATGACTAGTGTATGTTGATTTTCTGTCCTTGCTTATGTGTAGTAAGTATACAGTTATTTCCTTTCTTCTGCGACTGGGCTGAATAAGCAGAAGGCATTTAGACAGTGATTCGGGCGCTGAGCTATGCTAGAGCTTTTCCTGTTCATATATCATTGTAGGAAATGTTGGATGGCGCCATGCTGGGGGGCATTAGTAGACCTTGACGGGATATCTGAGCTGGCTGTGTGTGTGTGTGTGTGTGTGTGTGTGTGTGTGTGTGTGTGTGTGTGTGTGTGTGTGTGTGTGTGTGTGTGTGTGTGTGTGTGTGTGTGTGTGTGTGTGCCCCTGTTACTTCAAACTACCCATCTCAAAGCATCAACTATCTCGCACATGTTACAGATTGCTATAAAACTGCAGCTATTTTGTTTATCATAATCAGTATTAATGTTACACAAACCATAAAGACAACCAACTTAAAAATGACTAGTCCCATCAGCATCTTTGCAGAAGAGCAACAACAAGCTAGAGCAAAATGGTGTCTAATGCATGTGACAAACTCACAATGTTTGCATTAAAAGAGTACTAAGAAGAGATGTACAATATTTAAAGGAAAGGAACAAGGGTAGACAATTGTAACAGTACTCTACAGCACAGAAATATAAGCCAATAAAAAGTATGACAAAATCAATGCAGTATGCCGACAGACAGGCTTAAAGAATCCCTGTAATCCTCCATTGGTGTCATTGTGCGGGGCCATTCATTATGTTGAATCTCTGAAAGCACCAGGGTGACCTGGCTGTCGGCCGAACAGTAGCTAGGACAGCGGACATGTTGGCCAGGCAGGTGTGTCAATACTTGAAACCTCACTCAGGGAGCCAGTGTCTTTTATGTTAAAATTGAGGACTGAATACAACACTGGGAAACTGTCCAAATGTGTTCCTTTGATATATTTGAATAGTTGTATTTCTTTTTTCAAACTTGGAGCATTTTTATGTTTTCCCTTTATTTATTACCAACTGGATCAGCTATTTGCCAACAAAAATATGGATTACCGTCCTTCATTAAAAGTTGGCTAAAATCCTGGCAAGCATCAAACATTTAAACAACAGAGTAATTAAGAAATAATTTGTTATAAATATCTTAAAATAGCACAAACAGTATAAACAGTATACTGTATGCCATATTTCCTAGTGGTGTGAATAAGGAGAAGTAACTTTGAATATAAACCCTGGTTTCTTAATAGACCAATGTCGGTACTAGTTTACGGTTCATGTATAATCGTCTCGGCACATCTTATAAAAGTTGACAGGAAGATAGCTTCTATGCTTCAAATGACTACAATTGTTTAGTAATTGTTCGTCTCATAACTCAAGTCTATAACTTTTGCAAGACAATGAAATTGAGAAAAGTACCTACCCATAATGTTGTAGGTGGTCCAAAAAGCTGTGCTTTTATATACATATCAATAATATCAAGTCTTTCCAATTTAAATCCTGGCCAGGGTCTGTTAAGACAGATCACAGCCATAAAATCCGGTCCAATCCAATAATTCCAATTTCAAAATGCTGGCATGTCCTATATCATCATATACCGTACAATATACTATCAGAATTTGGAGGGGGTAATGCAAAGTAGTGCACTAAAAATCATGAGGGCCCAATAATCCAGGTAATTTAGTGTCTACAGCATGCTGTGGTGGTGCTGTAAATCATGCCTGGAGTCATGGCAACTCCACCAGATGGGGTAAGGGGTTTGCTCTAGAAATAGCACAGGCATGTTGGAAAAATGGGTGCTGTAAGGGCCTCCCGGGTGACAAATGGCCGGTTGTGAGTCGATCACAAACAGACTTCTATTACATTTGTATAATGCTGGGCTTGACATCAAAACAAAGACGATGTCTCCAGTTGTACATCTCTATGACGAGCATGAACACAAGCATGTTAATGTTGAATACAAGGGTTAACCTTTTCTCCATCTAATATTAATGGACAGGGTTTGTTCAGAGAGCATCGCACCTTAATGTACAGGGCCTCACCAGGTCGCCTGTATTAAGTAATCCTCCTGTGACTATTAATGATTAATTGCTGCGATTCAAGACTGAACATGATTTATTTAGCTAGAAACTATTATTTGCCAAGAGAACCCAGAGAACGCAGGCTTTTTAATTAAAAGATCAATTAATAACCCTACCTCTTCAGCCAGATTTGAAAATGAGTTTTCATTGCAATTAAGAAATGGACTCATCAGTGCATGACTTATCAGCTTACACACAGAGACACTGTTCCCCACTGCCATCTGCGGGCTTCATTGTCCTGTTTTTTTGTCAGTAAGGAATGGTTTTGCTGCCAAGATTTATTAATTAATTAAGATTTCTATTCAGGAAAGCTAGGGAACATTGTGTTCCTTCTTTTTAAACAATGCAAGGCATATAAATAACCGGCTTAGTGTGCAGGACTGTGAGGTTTGACAGCACCAGGGATTCAATATATTGTCTGTCTCAAACTCTAAATGGTTCAAGGTACCCAAATCCCCACCTATTTTACTTAATTAACATATTAAATGATGGGGTTGCTGGTGGAGGACCCCACCCAACCAGGGCAAATGGAATTATTATTCCCACTACAGGAAGTTTTAGTCAGTCACCCCAACCTGAGTAAAAACACATAACATTTGTGACAGTGATGCGAAAAGTATGTTGTTTGCAACCTGATCTCACCAGAATGCGTGACTCCACCACGACTCCTTAACACCGCATTGCGTGGTGGAGTCACGAACTTTGCTACATTTACGTGTATGCACCACACAAACAACCCCAATGTAAAGTGAATGAGGCTCCTTTGTCGTGATGCACACACGCATTTCTACAACGTCCAGCAGTGAGCATTTATTCTATAAAACGTTTTTGAAATCTACTTTATAGCTTGTAGTAACTCACGGGAGGCTTCTTTTATTTTATTTGTATTCATAATAATTTGTATTTTTCGTCAGAATGTATTATGGCAACCCTGTCTCCTAAAAATTACGTTCCCACAGAACTAAACTGCATTCTCAATTACGTTTAGCAAGAAACGTATTTTCTCTAACGTTACGTTCGTTATGAACGTATCTCAAATACGTTTATTTTCTACATATCTTCTAGAAACATATTTTCTCCCACGTTACGTTTCTTATGAACGTATCTTAAATACGTTTATTTTCTACATATCTTTGCCATTTATTGTCTTGCTTATAATAATGATAATAGTCATTTATAAATATCATTTTAGAGCACACATTTGAAATCAGTAGGCGAGGCTGTAATTTTGCCAGCTGTTACTCTCATGAGCGAGGCAGAAAATAATAGTTTTAACATGCCAAAAAGCTGCTGTGTCGTTTATTGCACC